AGTTAAAGCGACAAAACCAGGCAAAAGCCCGGGCCCAGATGGCCTCCCGCTGCGCTACTATAAATGCTTCACAGAGACCCTATACACACCGATGGTGGCCTCCTTTAACGCGATCAGGGAGGGACACCACTGGCCCACACAATCCCTCATGGCACACATCACAATCATACCAAAGGAGGGCAGGGGCGGAGAGCATTGCGGCAACTACAGACCTATCTCCCTCATAAACTGTGACCTGAAACTGATGGCAAAAATACTGGCAACCCGCTTACAACAACACATCCCCACCCTGGTCCACCCAGACCAGGTGGGGTTCGTGATGGGTCGCGAAGCCAGGGACAACACCATAAGGGCATTATCGATAGTGCACAGGGAATCGGCCAGGAGCGGAGGCCTTCTCCTGCTATCCACAGACGCGGAGAAGGCCTTCGACAGGATCGGATGGCCATACCTGTTTCAGGCCCTTACACACTTGGGTTTGGGGACGCATATGAGGGGATGGATAGAGGCCCTGTATAGGCAACCTAAGGCACAAGTCATCGTCAATGGCGCACCCACAAAGGCGTTCACCATACACAACGGCACCCGCCAGGGGTGTCCCCTGTCGCCGTTGCTCTTCGTCCTGGCCTTAGAGCCGTTTCTCCACGCGGTGAGGCACAACCCAGACATCCAGGGGGTGGAATTGGGTGGCACACACCATAAGGTTGCGGCCTATGCCGACGACCTGTTATTCTTCGTCACGAATCCCGAAATCTCACTCCCGAACATAATCAAAGCCTTCAGGGACTACGGCTTCCTGTCCAACATGAAAATAAATTTCAAAAAGTCATACATACTTAACATCTCAGTGCCCCGACATAGGGAGGGCACATTTCGCCAAAGCCACCCGTTCCAGTGGGCAGACACCAAAGTTAGATACCTGGGTATTTGGCTCACTAAACACAGCACGAGCCTATTTACAGAAAACTTCACCCCGATGCTGGCCTCGTTCAGGAGAGATACAGGGGACTGGTCGTACCCCCACATCTCCTGGTTAGGACGAGTCCAAGTAGTCAAAATGAATTTTCTCCCCCGGCTACTATACCTGATGCAAGCAATACCCATATGTATTCACCAAACTTACTTCAGCTCTCTTCGTAAGGTACTAGGGGGATATGTGTGGAACGGGAGGAGACCCAGGCTCAAATTCTCACAACTCACACAACCGAAAGACAAGGGGGGTATGGCGCTACCAGATTTCCATCTCTATTACGCCGCTTGCCACCTCCTGCGAATCCTGGAATTGTCGAAAGACAACGTACATAAACTCTGGAAGTCGGTGGAGGAGGCGGAACTAGGGATCCCCATAGCGCTCGCACCATGGTTACCACCAGGGAAGCGAGAAAACATACCCATATACGTGAAATCCACCTTGCAGGTGTGGCGTAGGATGGCAGCCCGAGGCAGCCTCGCCCCATACCCCTCACCGCTGACCCCCCTGACATACAATACAGAGTTTCCACCAGGATTCGACCCCCTGGCCTTCAGAGATCTTATCCCAGACCCCTTACCCAGGTTACACCACGTACACACTCAGACAGGCCCAAGGTCCCTTACAGAACTTATAGGCAACCACACCACCACCTTTGCACAGGAATACAAATACGCCCAGCTAAAGAGCTACCTTAAGACCCTCCCCCAGGGGCAAGCACTGGAACGCGCCCCCACATGGTTCGAACAATTATGTCTCGACCCAGAACCCCTCCCCCACGGTGTCTCCACCTTATACAACTCACTGCAGATACAAATCCCAACGGAGTTGCCCAGGTTCAAAGGAAAATGGGAAACAGCACTAAACCGCAGCTTTAGCGAAGGGGAATGGGAAAAGATATGCTCGTTAACGCACCACTGCGCAGCATTCAGCAAACACCAAGAAACAGCATATAAACTACTCACGCTTTGGTACCGCACCCCAGCTGCCCTACACAAAATATACCCAGACCAATCAGCAAAATGTTGGAGGTGCGGGTTGAGACTGGGGACGTTCCTACACATTTGGTGGGAGTGCGCAGAGATACAACCGTTTTGGCGGGGGATTCATTCAATGCTAAAGATATTCACGGACCAGCCCCCCCCTTTTGACCCCGCTGCAATGCTCCTTCACCACACTACCATACCAAGTAATAGATACAAAAGATCACTTACTATTAGGATACTTAATGTAGCAAAGCAGCTTATCCCACAACACTGGAAACGCAAGGACGCACCTACACCGGACGAGTGGCTCACACAAATGGAGGCCCTACGGGGGACGGAAGACATACACATGAAATCTATGGACAGAACACAAAAATACCTCGACACATGGACACACTGGATACTGACAACGGCAGGAGCCGGGTTCACAGACAAACTCAATGACTGGAGCAGACAATATAACCATCCAACACCGGGCCCAAGCGAGGGACGAGAAGTAGCCCTAGTACCAGACACCACAATAGACACCCCCTCCACAACGGGGACAGACGCCACCGCTTAATCAGACCCTGAGACCGCACCTGACGATCCAGACAATTGTGACTGGTACTGTACACCCTAAACCTCTTTCCCCCCCCCTCTCCCCCTTTCCTCCCTTCTCCTCCCTACACCCTGGCCACACCACAATAAAACTGAAGTAGGACCAACTTCAAAGGAGCTCTGGGACCAGCGAGTCCAACGAGTAAACGCCTATGCAACAGGCGACAACACAAAATGCAGGAGAGAGGTACAAGCACGCATACAGGACAGAGGGAATAGTAGACCCATCATATAATATATAATACCCAATGGCACCAGGTCGAGACTGGCAAAAGCCAACGAAACACAAAACAGTGACCACTACCTTCTGCCGCAAACACTACTGTTAGGTAGAACAGGACCTGCGTGTCCACACTGTCACCCTATAAAGCATATGAAAAGTACCACCCATTGTTTATATTTCATAGGACCTGCGAGTCCACCACGTAAATGTTACTTGTGCTTTAAAAAGGCGACCTGCGTGTCGCCATTGCCGGTTTACTTGAATGTAGTTTCTTTCCCCTCCCCCTTTTTTCTGTTTTCCTTTTTATGTTCTAAGGCGATAAACACTAAATGCAATTACTGGGACCTGCGCGTCCCTATAAATGCCTTCTTATGATTTGATACAACTGAAATTGACGTTCTGGAAATACCTAATAAAATACGTATTCACAAAAAAAAAAAGATGAAGAGCGAGGAGAAATGAAACCCCAATGTTTTGGCTGTGAAGCCTTCCTCTGGGGGTTTCGTTTCTCCTGTTCTTAGTCAGTCTACCTTTTTTAATGGGTTTTTGCATTTAGCACTTTACTTATACTGTGGTTTTGGTACTATATACTGGTTTAGCACTATACTATGCACTTACTCTCTCTGCTATAATGATATCTTATTGTATTTTCTATGCATGAATAAATACTCTTTTTATGTGCAAAACTGTGGTGTGCCTTGGGATCATTTTCTTATTTTAGTACATGTATATATCTGGTATGGGAACAGATTGTCTTCCTTTAAGAGCACCCGGTACCTTAGAAACCACACACTTATTACCCATTTTTCAGTAGATCTCTTCCTGTAATTTTATGTTTGTATACTTACTTATATTTAACCTTGCATTGATCATCCTATATTTGCATATATTAAGGCATCACACATGCACCCTGCTTTTCATAATTTTTCATAATTTTTTCAACCACACTTAATCTTAAAGGACCACTATAGTGTTTTCCTGACACTATAGTGCCCTGAGAGTCCCCTCAGGGTCCCCCTTCCGTGGCTCTGAAGGGGTTAAAACCCCTACAGCAGCTTACCTTATTCCAGCACCGGGCTCCCTCCGTGCTGGTGACCTCTCCTCCCCCGCCGGCGTCAGCGGAGCCGAATGTGCATGCGCGGCAAGTGCCGCACGCGCATTCAAAGTGTCCATAAGAAAGCATTTATCAATGCTTTCCTATGGACGCTCTGCGCGATGGAGGCATAATATGCCTCCAGCGTCGCAGATGCGCCTCTAGTGACTGTCCGGAAGACAGCCACTAGAGGCTGGCTTAACCCCAAATGTAAACATAGCAGTTTGTCTAAAACTGCTATGTTTGCATCTGAAGGGTTAAAACCTGAGGGACCTGGCACCCAGACCACTTCATTGAGCTGAAATGGTCTGTGTGACTATAGTGTCCCTTTAATGCATATGATTATCCTATGTTCTCCTCTATTCATGAAGCACACATGCATTGTTATTATCTACTTATAAAAAAAAAAAAAAAAAAAAAGAGGCTGCTTTTCCTTGGCGCCTATTTAACTTGATTGCATTTATTGTTCATGTGCCAATAGCTGCTAATGCTATTTTATGATGTGTATTATGCAAAAGCCTCAATAAAATGAAGACATTTTTTTTTTTAAATGTTATGCAGAATTTAAAAAAAAAAAACTAAATAAATAATAGAGTCCCCTATCACCACAGCCTGTCTAGCCTTCCTTACACTCCCAATCCCACCTGTACTAGAGGGGCTGTTCTCACGGCTGTTAGAAGGAACACAATAAGCACTGCATGGGGGCAGGGAGGGGAAAGGTCATATACATTTTTGAAAAGAATGTTATTTTTTAATATATATGTAATAGGTTATTTAAATGCTCGCTGCTATATAGACCTAATATCTAATATGTACAGTTTAAGTATCATTGGTGCAGTTTTGAGAGTAAAAATTGAACAGTGCTCTAGATTATTACATGCAATTTTATTTTTTCCCCTGACATCACAAAAACATATTTATCAAACTTAGAGGATACATGAACATGACATTAAAAATCTTGTAGTGTCATTTCGTTATTAAAAAAAGAAGATGGGCCACACAAGCAAGGTACGTACCTTTAATCTTGGCACAAAATTACATTTTACAGATAACCAGTAGATGGAGCTGAAGTATATTTCCCTGTGGAACTAATAATGAAACTTTTTTTTACCATATTCAATATGGTCTGACACTCTAAACCAAGAATGCGCATTTTAACAATAAATCTCTCTGTTTCAGATTTAATAGAAATGGTGGATATGGCGAAACCTGCATCTATGAACTTAAAGGACCACTCTAGGCACCCAGACCACTTCAGCTTAATGAAGTGTTCTGGGTGCCAGGTCCTTCTAGGGTTAACCCATTTTTTAATAAACATAGCAGTTTCAGAGAAACTGCTATGTTTATCAATGGGTTAAGCCTTCCCCTATTCCCTCTAGTGGCTGTCTCATTGACAGCCACTAGAGGCGCTTGCGTGCTTCTCACTGTGATTTTCACAGTGAGAGCATGCAAGCGTCCATAGGAAAGCATTGTAAATGCTTTCCTATGCGACGGGCTGAATGCGTGCGCAGCTCTTGCCACGCGTGCGCATTCAGCACAGGAGGAGGATCGGAGGAGGAGAGAAGGAGGAGAGCTCTCCGCCCAGCGCTGGAAAAAGGTAAGTGTTTAACCCTTTCCCCTTTCCAGAGCTGGGCGGGAGGGGGTCCCTGAGGGTGGGGGCACCCTCAGGGCACTATAGTGCCAGGAAAACAAGTATGTTTTCCTGGCACTATAGTGGTCCTTTAAAGTGACTTTTTCATATGTTCAGTTTTGTTTATATTAGAGAATCAGCAGTTTATATGACTTTTTAACGACGATAAATGATCTGCCATTTTAATTAAACATAATGGCCATTTTGTAAATTATAAGCCAAAATCAAAGGGGTCTGTCTATTAGTGAAATTGCATTTAGTTGTACATATTTAGTTGTTTGCTATGTGAAACCTTTTCAGCTATTCACAAAAGGCAAATCTTGCTATTGCAGCCTTAATTGCGCTATAATTCATTTAGCTATTAAAATTATATAAACATTTGGTATTTTGGCTAATCACATTAATCATAAAAAGGCTAATTCCAGACAATCCCCATAATTTATTTTATCCAGTTTCCATGAAACAGAACTGAGGAACTTCACCCATAAACCTAAGTTCCTTAACTCTAAGTCACCATAATCCTACCCCAACCCTTCACCTAGAGATGATATATCAACAAGCTTACTTGTATCTTGGCTGCAACTTTTTTTCTTCTGTTGGCTTCTGTTTAGCTGCTACTTAGCGAGAGAAATCATCAAAATATTTTCACTGTTGTCATGCGATCCAATTAAAATAGATGGAACCCATTTACCCTAAAGGGATGCTCTAAGCACCATAATAACTTGACCTTAACCCCTTAAGTGCTTGACCTTAACTTGACCTTAACCCCTTAAGTGCCAGGAAAACAAACTCCCAAAACTGTGTATCCTGGAATGTAAGCGCTGTGTCGACCTGAAGGAGGCGATGCTCCTATCTGCTGTTGGTGTCCCCACTTTCCGCCCACAGCCCCATTCTTTGTGCCCTCAATGGGGTCCGGTCCAAGTTTCTCATAGGAGCTTAGTGCTATGAATGAAAATGAAATTCCCTTTATGATGCCACCCCTTGTAGAGTTGTGTGTCTTGCTCCTCTATTCATTTATGATAAAGATATGTGTTGCGTATTTACCCTCCTACTAGAGTTAAGTTGATTGTTCTGCTACTGTATGGGGTATTTATTAGGTCTTCGTCCAATAATCAGTGGCGCTCGTGCATTGAGATTGATTTTAAACTAGCTTATAGTTTGGGTGGTCCTTGTGATTTCACTGCCATCAATACTAATATGACACTGTTCTTTTTAATTGTTGCTTATTCCATTGCGTATTTTTTTTGTCAATTTTTGATTGGTCTCTGTGTTGGTTTTCGTTTTTGTCTTTTTTGTTGTTGTCTGAGGGGAAGGAGAAAAAAAATAATGTTTGTGGGAGATGTCTCAACATTGTGGGCTGCCAGTCAAGTTCTTGTACCTGCCCGCAATGGCACGTCCAGCGAATGTAAAAATTCCAACAAGAAGAGATAGGTAAGAAGTCGTTCCATGAGTAGAGAGGGTAGCAAGCTTACACCATGTTGGTGCGTCCCAGCACTGAATGCAATGTCTTCATTGGAGTCATTTACCTCTTGCCAGCCATTCTCTGGGAAGCATTCCATGACCTCTTTTGCCTCTCTGGCACCATGAAACTTTCTGGAACCTCAATTCCTAGGCTCTGCAGGAATTGCCTCAGATCAATACGTGGCAGTAGCATCAATGGTTGCGGTCCCTTAAAGACTAGTATCTTAAAGGGGAATCCCTATGCAAATCTCTGGTCATTAGCTTTGAGGATGTCGGTTAACGGTGTCCATTCCCTTCTGCGAATATCCAAGAAGACTATCAGGAAAAAGATGTAGGTGGCCAGCCTTGACCACCAGACTTAACTGGATCTGTCACTTTTGGGGGGTTTGCAAACTATGTCTCCAAAAGGCGACAGATCCACTTTAATTGCACTTAAGTCACACACAGGATGCTTCTGCAGGCTCTAGCAAGTCACTGACATAGCAGGAGAGAAGAAATTCTAAACAAAACACACTATGCAAGTGAAGCTAAATAATATAAGCTCTTATTAAGGAAGTGTGTAGGGAGGCTGTGTGAGTCTTACCCAGGGGGTGTGTGGCTAGGGTTGCATAAGCAAAGTGATTTAACTGCTAAATTGCAGCGACTTTAGCAGTGTCACTGCAGGGGCAAGATTTATACACCAAAATAACTTTCACGAAAGAGTTGTCTTAGTCCTTAGAATGTCCCTTTCATGACATTTCAATTCCTTCCATACTAGATTTAGTGTTAACAAATGGAGATTTGGTAGGTGAAAGTTTAGTGTTAACAAATGGAGATATTACTGTAGGTGAAAGTTTAGGATCCAGTGATCATCAGTCAGTGTGGTTTAATATAAGAACAGTGACAGAGTCACACCACACAAAAACAAAAGTTTTAGACTTTAGAAAAACAGACTTTTCTAAAATTAAAATATGTGTAAAGGAGTCATTATCAGACTGGAACAGTTTAAATGGAGTCCAAGAGAAATGGGATTATTTAAAAGTTGCACTGCTGAAGGCAACAGAAAACTGCATTAGGCTTGTCAATAAAAGCAAAAAATTCAAGAAACCACTGTGGTACTCCGCAGATATGGCCAAAATAGTAAAAAACAAAGAGTTAGCATTTAGTTATTATAAAAAAAACCAGAGTGAGGAAGATAGACTGATCTATAAGATTAGGCAGAAAAAGGCTAAGCAAGTTATAAGAGCTTCCAAATCACACACAGAAGAGAAAATAGCACAGTCAGTAAAAAAAGGGGACAAAACATTTTTTAGATACATAAATGAGAAAAGGAAAGTAAAACAAGGATTAGTTAGATTAAAAACAAAAGAAGGAAGGTATATCGAAGAGGATAAAGGTCTAGCTGACTGCCTTAATTAATATTTTTGTTCAGTATTTACAGATGAAAATGAAGGAAAGAGGCCTCAGTTATGAAAAAGGAAAAATTAATCATTTGTTACATGTGCGTTTACAGAGGAAGAGGTTCTATTTCAACTGTCAAAAGTAAAGACATAAGTCAATGGGACCTGATTGAATACACCCAAAGTTATTAACCCCTTAGTGACGAATGATGGTCCCGGTCCGTCATGCCGGGGAAGCAGTTAACGCCGGATGACGGACCGGGTCCATCATATACTAAAGGTAACCCCTGATCGCGGTGATCACAGGGTTAACGCTCCTCCGATCTGCCTCTGCATTCGATGCAGACCGGGAGCACCCGATCGCACTGTCAGAGCGAGCACATGTGCTGCAGGTACTTCTGATCCGCCTCCCTGCTCTTCCGCGTCCAGTGTGAAGTGCAGGTATTCGATGCAGACCGGGAGCACCCGATCGCACTGTCAGAGCGAGCACATGTGCTGCAGGTACTTCTGATCCGCCTCCCTGCTCTTCCGCGTCCAGTGTGAAGTGCAGGTAAACGGATCAGCAGTGATCTTCTCCCTGTGTAAAAAAATAAATAAAGATAGTTTAAAATCCCACCCCCCTTTACCCATTTTAAATAAAAACTACAGTGATCAATTGGCAGGGACTACATTTTACTGTGATCTTTTTTTCTTTAACCCCTTAATTTTATTTTATTAATTAATTTAAATATATTAAAATGATATATTTAGCTAGCTGGGGTGGGTGGAAGTTAGTGGGGAATTGGGCAATTTGGTGTTAGGCTAGCCAAGGGTTAACATTAAAAAAAGTTTAAAAAAATGTTAACTATCAGCTACTAGATGCATACTTGCAAAAACAGAATATTCAAGGATATAATCTTTCAATGTAGGGTAATAACTGCTTGATCCAAGGATAAATCTGACTGCCATTCTGGGGTCAAGAAGGATTTTTTTCCTAGCTTGTTGCAAAATTGTGCTTCAAACTGTTTTTTTTTTGCCTTCTTTTGGATCAACAGCAAAAAACAAATGGAGGGAAGGCTGAACTTGATGGACAAGTCTCTTTTCAGCTATGTAACTATGTAACTATGTAACGTTTTTAAATAAAGTAAAACAAATCCCATCCCCCTTTACCCAGTCCTAATAAAAATTAACCCCTTCCCTGCCAGTTGATCACTACCTACAGTGATCAAAATACATATTATACTGTGAACCGATTTTTTTTTTTAACCCCTTAGGGTTAACCTTTTTTTTTTTAACTTTCAGGGGTTCAATTTATTTAATGAATTAATTTAAATATTTTAAAATGATATATTTTGCTAGCTGGGGTGGGTGGGAGTTATGAGTTACAGTGCTGCTTACTGCTAGTTAGGGGTTAACGGTTAAAAAAAGTTTATAAAAATTTTAAATCTGTAAAAAAAGTTTTAAGAAAGTTTAGGAAAGTTTCAACAATTAAAAAAGCAAAAAAAAGTTTAAAAACGAGTTTTAAAAAGTAAAAAAAGTTTAAAAAAGTAAAAAAATACATTTAAAACTGCTCATTACCACTACACCTGGAACAAACAAGAGAAAAAATGATTCCACGCTAAGGTTCAAAATATGCCTTTTGAATTACCCCAGGGTGTATTCTTTAATAAATAGTATGTGTTTGTGGGGAAGTTTGAATAACCAACCAGCTAAACTACTCCAAAATAGAACATGGACACAGCGTAAAACGTCAAAGTTAGAAAAAACTGAATGGCTGCATCTCAAATGTGCCCCTTCAACATCCACATATACCTGGCAAAGGTACATACAGGGATATTGCTGTACTCAGACGACATAGCTGAGCAACATATGAAGAATTATACAGGTTTGCAAAATATACTGTGCAA